AGGATGCTGGGAAGAAGAAGGGTGAGTCTCAAGGAGACATGGAGGAAGCAGGAAGTCAGGATGGATAGCAGTACATAGGTAAGGTAAATGTGCTTCAGGGCAGCACAAAGGCTAATAGAAATGGGTTGATTTAAGTTATAAGAACTAGCTAAAAACAACTCTAAGCTATTGGCTAAGCTTTAATAATTAATAATAAGTCTCTGTATTTTTATTTGGGAGATGGCTGGCAGGACAGAGAAACTCTTTACTGTGATGTTTAAAACGTGGTCTGTAAGCAAGCAATGGTTGTCAAACTTTTTGTTACATATCTGGATTTAGTAAGCATTAAAGTTTGCAAAGATTTATGATGTCCTGCTGAATCCCATATTAAAAAATAGCTGGTTTGTCTCTATCTGTTTAAATTTAATTTTTCAGTAATTCACTTTTGATCTTATTTTAATAATTTGTCCACAACAAATGGAAGAAAAGTAGGGCGTGTAATGTTGATAATTTGAGAAACACTATTCTGGAATGTTGGACACTCTCTTTAATTCAAGATGAAGTAAACAGAAGTCAGCTGTAGTTCTTACTTTGGTAAGTGCCATGGTACTTTTGAGTCACAAAGACCCAAAGAGGTGCCACACTGGATTGCATGTAGGTAAGGAAGTTTTTGTTAGTAGTGGGTCTTATCAAAAGGCCCCCAGATATATGGCCTTCTTCTGGAGTCAGACCATTGGTTTTACAAACCTTCCCCACTGCCTTCCTTAATATTTGATTTTGTGCTTCTTTGTCTGTTTACAGTCAGTTTGCCTTTTTATGTGTCTCCTTTCTCCAGTCATAAACTCCAGTAGTTGTTTCTGGTCTCCACACAGTTGTTTAATTTCCATTGATTATCAGAAACTTTTATTGTTTTGAGATTAGAATAAAATGATTTGCCACTGAAAGGTGAAAAGTATAGAAATTTTTTAATTTTGGTCCAAAAGATAGATTACATAAGGTGGTATCTCATAGTCAGGTTAACTTGGGTTCAAATCATGGTTTTACAATTTAGCAGCTAGACATTCCAGGTAAACTTTGTTAAATTTTTAAAAAATTATTTTATGTGTTTTGCCTGCATGTATGTATATGAACCACATGTTTGCTTGGTGTCCATGGAAGTCAGAAGAGGTCATTGTATCTCCTGGAACTGGAATTATGGATGGTCATGAGATTCTATGCTGCTGGGACTCAAACCTAGGTCTTCTACAAGATCAGCAAGTGTTCTTAACTGACGAACCATCTTTCCAAGAACAACACCCATTATCATTATTATTATTATTCTTTAGCTTCATTTTTCAGTATGTAAACAAGCAGCTTTACTGAACAGAGTAACTGTGAAGATTAAGTGACATAACGTAGTAAGGGGATATCTTAGTTAGGGCTTCTTAGTGCTGTGAAAGAAAACATGGCCATGGCAATTCTTATATAAAGGAAGAATTTAATTGGGGTGGCTTACAGTTTCAGAGGTTTATTCCATTATCATTGTGATGTTGAGCACAGCAGTGTGCAGGCAGACCTGATGCTGGAGTATCTGAATGTCTTACATTTTGCAGGCAGGACAAAGTCAACTGAGAGTCACACTGAGTGAAGCTTGAAAGAGACTTCAAAACCTATCCCCACAGTGGCATACTTTCTCCACCAAGGCCACACCTCCTAATAGTGCCACTCCCTTTGGGGGTCATTTTCTTTCAGACCACCACAGGGGATAATAACTGTCCATAATAGATTCTCAAAAAACATTAGCATTCTTCTTTCCCCATGCTCAATAAATAGACTTCAGTTACCTTCCTTTAAAATTATCACTGTAAACATTGACAGAGACCCCATGAATAGACTAAGAGTTTTCAACACACTAAAAGTTGTCTGTCCACTAGTTTAAAAACTAGATATGGTAGACCCTTTGAAAGTGGGGCCGAGTCTTTTTTTTTTTTTTTTTTTTTACGAGACAGGGTTTCTCTGTTTTGTTTTGGAGGCTGTCGGTCCAGCCTGGCCTCGAACTCACAGAGATCCGCCTGCCTCTGCCTCCCGAGTGCTGGGATTAAAGAAGTGCACCATCACCGCCCGGCTGGGGCCGAGTCTTTCTAAGGTCAGGCACTCTTCACTGTGCTGAGATCTCTTTGCTCCAGTATGAATAATTTCGACAGGCATGTAACGTGTTTCATTCTTAATTTTACTCCTTTGTATTAGTGCCATTCTTGAAAGGACCTTATGACCCTCCTCCACACTCAATTCATCTTCAAAAATGTTCAATATTTATATCATGCCAGGAATTGGCCCATGGAAATCTGATCAACTTCCTTCACTTTGTAGAACTGTAGGTCCGTCCAGGGTTCTATGCCAGGCCCTGCTTATTTTTTCCCCTTCTTAGAATGCTTTCCTCACTTCCCCTACATTTTTTTTTAGGATCTTTTTTCCCTTTCAGGTGAGACCCAACCATTCCCTTGCTTGTGCTTATAGTCAGAACATTCAGGGTGAGAAAGGCTGTCAGTTGTTCAAGACAGTCCATGGCCAATTGCAAGCAGGAAGATGACCAGGTTGGTTTCTTGTTTGTTTCAGTTTTTAGTTTTGTGCTATTATTTTATAGCCCTCCATTACTTGGTGGGGAAATGGTATTTCTGGCTGAGAACCAGGGACACAACGTTGCAGAGAAAGCCCTAGAAGAAACAACAGCAGACAAGGGACAAGGGGTATGATGAGAGATGAGGGAAAGACAGGCAGATTTGGGAAGAAAGGAGACCTGACGTGCATACCCAGTCAATTGCATTCATTTCTGGAGAAAAAAAAATTAAACCACAACAGACCAGTACTGCCCAGCTTCTAATTTGTGCTTAATAAACAGCACTACTGTCATTGCCAATGAAAACAGCAACATAACTCTCCTTTTCTCCCCGCACTAACTCTAAACAATCTACTGGATTTGGGTCAAAATAGTAAACTGCCAGCATGTTAAAAATAAAATAAAAAAAAACAGAAAAACAAACCTGGCATTTTCCTTAAGGGTTGTGAGAGCAGGACAAGAGCCAGGGAGAGGAGTTGCTATAAAAATAACTGGTGCAAACATCGTTTAACTGATGTTTTCTATAAAAATCCCATGGCTGTGAATTGGAAGGAGGGAAGCTGTGAAGGGGAAAGGAATGGGGAACCAAGTGGTGTCTGCTTATCGTCAGTCAGCTTTCATGTAAGAGTCATGGCAGGGTCAGCAACAAACTAGCCAGGTGGCAACTCCAGGCTACACTGCCATAAATAACAGTTATGTACTAATGTCACACAACCAGAGCTAGATGTAAAGCATATGGGAAGGCAACATTCTGATGTAAAGGTCTAGCAGTGTTTGCTCAATTTAGGACCTACTGTTGATACTGGACATTTGAAATCATTGAGAAAATAAAGTAGTAAAACAGAGGAGATGGGGAAGAACCTTTGGTATATGATTTTTTTTTAAAAATTGAAGTCTTCAAAAAAAAAATCCTGAACCTTAAGAAAGGTTTAGAAGAATGACTATTCCATGAAGTGATTAAGCATTGTTGAGAGCCCACAACACCACATACCAATTTTCACTTGAATTCCACTCCTGCTATTTACTTGTTCTCATGACCTCTGGGAAGTTCCTTAACCTTTCATGCCTTTGTTCACTCTGCACAAAGGAAAGAGGGGTCCATAATGGGTATAGAACCTGCACCAAGGGAAGTTATGGGGATTAAGTGAGTCTTTACAAGGGACCCACAAAGCACTATCTAGTAAATTCCCATCCAGTTTACTTAACTAACTTGTTTTACATAGGCTGTTTGATGGACGCTATGTAAGTAAATTTTTATTTGTACTATCTTATTGTTTTTATTGGCATAAGGTCATGTACATAGTGCTAGATTTCACAAATATTATAAATTATTTCATGTATATCTTGTTCACGCTCCCCCAGTCTCATTACTTCTTTCTTTCTCTGTTTTCTTTCATGTGTATGTATATGTGTACACCTATAAATGTTAATGCGTGTGTGTGTGTGTGTGTGTGTGTGTGTCTTTGTGATCTACGTAAAACTGCGGGTTCACAAATTAGAGGAAACACAAAATATTTGTTTGAATCATTTTTCCTGAAGATGACATTACTTTAATCTTTATAACTGTGTTTGTAAACCACATTTATTTAATATTAAAACCAGTCTCGTGAATCAAAATTTTATAAGTAAAGTAACTGAGGCTTTGGTAGATTAAGGAATTAATCCTTAATTCCTTAATTACTTAAGCCAATGTTCCAACTTATGCTTTACAGCAAATGAAAGCTACGATAAACATTTTAAACGTGCTAAAACCTTAGCACATTTTCTTTCACTTGTTCCAAATGTTTAAATTTGAAGAGAGCACACACACACACACACACACACACACACACACACACACACACACACACACCATATGTCCATCTTAGAAGCAAAGTTTTTTTTTTAAAGGAATTACAGGGGCTATTGTCTGATATATTGACTTAGGAGGGCTGTGTTCCATTTACATTAAATATTGAAAATAAAATATTAACTCAGAGTTTCATTTCTCTGCATGTTTATTGGGCGCCTACTATTTTGGCGGCCAGAAAGAATATACTTCTTAAGGTGTAGGGAGTGAAAATGTCATTTTACTGCCAGCTGCTTTAAGAAGCACGATTTAAGTCCACCACTATAACAGCATTGCTTTCCATGAGGGAGGCTGAAGGACGTTCCCAACACAAGCCAAACTGCAGACTAGCAGAGATCCTTTGCACTGCTGAGCTTCTTGCAGACTATCCAGCTCAGGGCGGCAAGAACTGGGCGTGTCTGGAAACAAATTCAAATCCCGCGCTCAGGAAGAGGACTTCCGGGGGCTCCAGCTCAGTGCTGGAGGGTCACCTGTGAGACCCGCTCCCTGAACTGTGTGACAGGCCTCCCTGGTTTCTTGCAACCTCAATGAGCACCTGTGTTCCACTTCAGACAGGCGACATTGGGGACACCTGCTCCTAAAAGATGCAAAGAATCTTCCTCCCGCAGCCGCCACTTCCTTTGCCCTTACCTAAGATGGCGGCTAGTTGCCTTCGGCCCGGCTTACTGAGGCTGCTCGGTACTCTCCGCTGGCGCAAACAGGTCTACAGCCCGCCTTTCCCGCGGAGGTGAAGCCTGGGACGCGGCGTGTCTCCGCCCCGCCGTGCAGCAAGGGGGTGTGTTTGGGGGTATTGAGGTTAGCTAAGGAGGTGGAGGACCTAGGGTCGTGCTGCGCTCTGCCTTTTCCTTGCTTCCTGGCACCAAGGCTGCACGAGCCCAAGGGTTTTTTTTTTCCCCTTGGGCCCAATATGATACTAACTAAAGCACAGTACGAGGAGATAGCCCAGTGCCTAGTGTCTGTACCGCCCACCAGGCAGAGCCTGAGGAAGCTGAAGCAGAGGTTCCCCAGGTAAGTCCCTATCTCCACTCACAGCCTTTTGCCTTCAACCCAGTTTCAACTACCCTGGCAGTGCATAGGAGCCACGTGTCACACGCAGATGGGGGGAACATAGTGACAGGGGTTAGGTCATGGATCTTGAGAAAGCTCCCTCCCTTTCATCTGCCTACCATACAGAATGCTTAATGGCTGAAGACCCTGGAGCCTCTCCAGGCCTTGCAATTGAATCCAAGTCAACAGATGTTTATTGAAAAGTTGGTACTTTTTTTTGGGGGGCACATAGTAGGTGCTTCATAAATGTGCAGCAGTTAATCCAGAGATACTAGCAGTGGATGATGGGTAATTGAGTCTTTGCAAAGTAAAAAGGTGCATTGGAGGTTCATTAAACTGGCTTGCTGCCTACCTTGCCTAGACACCCAGAGGTGGTAGATTAAACAGAGGACCCTTTCGTTTTGCCCAGGCCTAAAGGAGGCTTGTTGTTGAATATGCAATGAAAACATTCTCAGTACAGTCGAGGACTTTGGTGTTCTAGGGATTATGCTCTTGAGTTTGGCCATTTCGACCTCCATGTGCATGGATTTCATACTTCTCTGTTCACTTTGCTGTGGCTTTTAGGATTTTCAGAGCTGCTAGGAAAGGGCTCTTAGAGATTATATAGCGTAGATTCCTTATCTCAAAGATTCAAACCTGTTCAAGACAACTAGGTTATCATAGTTAATACAATAAATAATACAGAGTATTTTGTACCTATTTTTTCTAATTCAAAGCCATATTGTGGTATTGAGCATAGTTGCTCCTAATGGAGAGCTTTCCTATCTATAATGCATAGCCTTTGTCCATGTATCACCAGAGAGAAATTTCATTGAAAAATATGTTATTGGGTAATAGGTATCAATACAAATTAGAAGCATATCTTTTATGACCTGATATTTGGTAGGCTGATTTTCCTAGTCTTTAAACAGAAAATTTCTCCTTCCAATGTTGTCCTTACCTAAGTGTGATAGTTATCCCTTTATAGCTGGAGATTTTTTTTTCTTTATTTGACTTTTCAAGAAAGAGTTTCTCTGTGTAATTTTGGAACATATCCAGTTACTCGATCTATAGACCAGGCTGACCTTGAACTCACAGAGATCCACCTGCCTCTGCCTCCTGAGTACTGGGATTAAGGGCGTGTGCCACCAACACCTGGCTTAGCTGGAGAATTTTTATCATAGTTGTTGTCCAAGAACACAGTTGACAAATTGGAATTTAATTATTGTCATTAACTTTTTAGTTCTGTCCATGAACACTCAGATGAGTAGTAGCTGATTACCCAAGGGAAAAGGTATAGAATGTACATGTATATTATGTGTATATTATATAGTATATAATATGTATTTTATACATACATATACATATATATATATATATGCACACCTATATACACACACATACATGCATTGCTGGGCAGCTTTGGAGCTTTTTGATACTTTGTTCTCATTATGTACACATGTTACACATTATTGTATATATGTGTGTCTGGGCCTACGTCTCAAGGTATGTGGATGTCAGAGGACAACTTGGAGTTGTTTCTCTCCTTCCATCAAATGGATTCTGGCAATCAAACTCAGATAGTCAGGCTTGGGGGCAAGTGCTTTTATTCACTAAACCATCTCACCAAGTACCCCCTTTTTAGAAATGCGTGTGTGTGTGTGTGTGTGTGTGTGTGTGTGTGTGTATGTGTTTGTGTGTGTGTGTCTTTGTATGGTTATATCTGTATTTACTAAAATATAAATTAAAGCTGAGAAATTAAAAAAATACTACCAAATTGCTTTGAAAAAATAATAAGTATATTACTTATTAATGTGTTTTATGTATAATAGCCATAATTCCAAAAAAGGCCTAGACACAAATGACATGGTTGTATACTTCTGCAAATTTCTTTAATGTCCACCATAAATACAAGAAACCACATTTACTTTTAACTGGTTGTCATGTGTTGCTGATTAAAAGATAGCAAGAGGATTGGGGAGATAGCTCATTGAATAAAGTGCTTGCTTTACAAGCATGAGGACCTGACTTTGGATCCCTAGTATCCGTGGAAAAGCAGTGCAGCTCTATAGGGAAAATGCCTCCATCAGATTCTGTAGGTATTCTTATGGGGGTATTTTCATGATTAGTGATTGATGTGAGAGGGTTAAGCCCACTGTGGGTGGTACCATCCCTAGACAGGTGGTCCTGCATTGTGTAAGAAAGTAGACTGAGGCCGGGCGGCGGCGGTGGCACACGCCTTTAATCCCAGCACTCGGGAGGCAGAGGCAGGTGGATCTCTATGAGTTCGAGACCAAGCCTGGTCTACCGATCGAGTTCCAGGATAGGCTCCAAAACAATACAGAGAAACCCTGTCTCGAAAAACCAAAAAAAAAAAAAAAAAAAAGAAAGTAGACTGAGCAAGCCATGGAGAGCAAGCCAGTAAGCATTGTTCCTTCATGGTCTCTGCTTTAGTACCTGTCTCCAACTTTCTGCCTTGACTTCCTCTCATGATGGCAACTGTAAGCTGAAATAAACCCCTTTCTCCCCAAGTTGCTTTTTTGGTCATGGTGTTTCTTTTCACAGCAATAGGAAGAGAACTAACACAGAAATTGGTACCAAGTTCATGGGATACTGCTGTGACAGTATCCCATGTTGTATGCAACGGAAGCCCTAGTACCGAAGAGGTCATGGAGAGACCTTGCCTCCAAAAACTTGCAGAGCCATAGGGGAAGATATCTGATGTGGATCTCTGGCCACCACATGTTCATCCATGGCAAGTGCACTCGCAGACATGTGGCTGTCATACACAGCTATCCACCACCATAGGAAAAAAAGAAAAGAAAAAAAATGCCAAGAAACTCTGGCCTCATATGTAGTTGCAAAAGAGAAGACTAACTTAATAGGATTTTTAGATAACTGATAGTTTCTTGAAGGCTGACTGTAATGTGAAATATGAAACCCCATTAAAGAATTGTCACGTTCTTGCATTGTAACTTGCATTGTAACAAGCAGCTTGTTTGAACTTCAGTGGGTCTTTTACCCATGGAATATTGGTTTTGAACCATACAAACCTTCCGCATGTTGTCTCCTTTCATTCTGCTGTATTTAAAAAAAAAAATCACATTTGCTAATGTCATCAGTGATCTCATTAGAAGTCTGTAAGATTTGAAACTGTCAAGCTATGGTGATGGATATGAGCTTTCTAATATTTGAATTTTCCCTTGAAAGCTCAAATTTTATCATTGGCAACACATGATATTAGTTGTTTTCCTTGAAATGACAGGCTCATGTCATTTATATTTGAGAAAAATGTCTGCCAGATACCCAAATCTGAATAATCAATTTTTTCATTGTTTATTCAAGTAAGAATTGTATTTCCTGGAAAAAGTGGCTAGCTCAGCTCTTAGTCAGGTACATTCCTCAATAGAGACACCATCATATCTTTAAAAATGGTGTTTGTATTTCCTTCTAAATTCAGCATGCAGTATTTTAAGAGGATGAGAATATTAATCAGTGAATATTCTGAAATGAAATATCATATATATATATATATATTTTTTTTTTTGGTTTTTCGAGACAGGGTTTCTCTGTAGCTTTGGAGGCTGTCCTGGAACTCACTTTGTAGACCAGGCTGGCCTCGATCTCACAGAGATCCGTCTGCCTCTGTGTCCCGAGTGCTGGGATTAAAGGCGTGCACCACCAACACCCGGCTCTCTATGTTTTTTTTTTTTTTTTTGAGGCAGTATTTCTCTGGGTAGCCTTGGGTGTCTTGGAACTCCCTCTGTAGACCAGGCTGGCCTTGAACTCACAGAGCTCTATCTGCATCTGCCTCTGTCTCTGAAGTGCTCAGATGAAAAGCGTGCTCTACCACCGCCTGACTACTTTTTATTTCTTTAAGTTGTGTTATGTATGTGAGTTTGAAAATGGCTGTAGTACCCTTGCCCCAATTTGTTGTTAAGCTTTGGAAGTTAAAAAGCTATCAATTTGAGGGGTTCTGGCCGTGGGATGAGTCCAAGGGAATGTAGCTGGAAGGGGTTGGAGAAGGGAAGGTGATACAATTCTATTTCTATTAAAACCATGTTTAGGAAAAGGAATTGGAAACTTACCCACAGTAATATACAGTAGGCACAATATGAATAGAATAGAATGTCAATAGAATAGAAGGGTCAGTAATATTTTTGTAAACATAGTTTTGACCTTGTAGATGCCTGAGAGGAACTTGGGGACTCTGGGAAGTCATTGGCTGCACTTGAACACAAACACTGGCTGTTTCAAATCAAAGCACATTTATTTTTGAAGGTTGTTGATGGGTATTGACAAATGAATACCAACAAGATTGCTAATTCCTTCACCTGTAGAACAGGGACTACCTGTCTCTGTAATTTTTGCCAGCATTGATCAGAGTCATTATTTAATCTTTACTATGTTGAATTAAGAATAACACCTGGTAATTTGAGTTTATATTAGCTTCTGATACCTACCCCCCTTTCTGGGGTTTCAAATACAAGTTCTTATCCAAGCAAGAAAACCAATCTATAATTGGACTATACCCACACCTAGTGTTTTTTAAATTACAATTCATTGTAGGTAATTTTAATAGTTTTTTGTCTATTTAATTTTCTTTTTGCACTAATGAAACATAGTGGTATTCTGTGTCTGCTTTGGGAGTATTTGGTTTTATGAAGTTGGTTATTGCTTACTATAGTTTGGATGTGCTGATGTTAAACATGTTGATTTTTTTTTTCTTGTCTTTTTTGTTGTGGATGTTTTCTAGTTTGCTTTTAAGTATTCTGGTTTTAACTTCCTTAAACTTCAATTTAGGCTTCTTTGTTTTCTTTTATTTTTGTCTTTGCATTTTGGAATTTTGAGGAAGGGTCTTTCTACATAACTCTGGCTTTCCTGGAACTCACTATGTAGACCAGGCTGGCCTTGGAGTCACAGCTATCTGCCTCCCAAGAACTGTAATTAAAGGCCTATACCACCACCATACCTGGCTCTTT